GGGGGGGGGGAGATGTTAAGATTGAAAAACCAGTGTTTATGTTAGAATTTCTGAGACTGCACCTTACTACTGAAGACTTCTATTTTCTTGAAAGTCTTTGATTTAAAGATTATTTGTGATCTTTAAAAACCTGTTAAAAAAAACAAACAAAGACTATATTAGTAATTTTCAGTCTCAAAGATCAGGAGCTCAGTGTCTGAAGTACACTCAGTGGTCTGTGGGCCCTGAGATTTGTCTCTGAAAATTAACATTTTTTAAAAGCGGTTTTATTGAAATACATTGATATACTGTAAGGCCCATCCAGAGCACACAATTGATTTTTAGTATATTTACAGGGTTACACAGTTGTCACCATGATCTAGTTTTAGAGCATGTATTACCTCCCCAGAATGAAATTCTGTATAGCCCTTAGCAATCACTCCTCATTCTCACCCCCCCCCCCCCCCCCCGATTTTTTTTCTCTATAGACTTGCCTGTTGTGGGCATTTCACAAAACTGGGTTCATGAAACCTGTGGTCTTTTGTGACTGGCTTCCTTGAGCATAATGTTTTCAAAGTTCACATGTATCAGTATTTCATTCTTCTTTATGGCTAAATAATATTCTATTGTATGAAAATATAAAATATTCATATGAATTCTATATGTTATTTAAAGTTTAGAAATCTCTTCCTTGGGTTTTCTTTTCCCATGCTTCTAAACTTGGGAAATATAATGTAATTTTCTTGGCTGTCATGGATTTCTCTTAAGAAGTCCATTAGAAAATAGGAATTCCTAATCAGCTCTTTGAGAAAACACTTTGTAATCCTGTTTTTTGTGTCGTTAGTAGAACATAGTTTCTTAGTATTATTAGCTAAGTTAATAGTCCTGTGATAGGCTGGGAAACATACAGATTTTTTTCCAGCTTTAGTGTTTTTTAGTCGTTTTAAAAACAACTTTCCAATTTGTTGATTTTGTTTTTTTTTTTTTTTTTTTTTTTTTTTTTTTTTTTTTTTTACTGGCCTGAATGTATAATCAAGGTAAAGTCTCGTGGACTAGAAGAGGTACCAGTTTTTGATATTTCTGAAAAAACAATAAATGGAATACAAACTAAATCTCTCCCTTCTGATGAAGAAAGACTTGCCTCAGGTATATTTTAACAAAGTGGGACAATTTTATTTATAGGACCAGCTAACTTGAAGAAATATTGTTATGGTTCTAGTTTTAATTTGACCATGCTCTGTTAATTTGACCAGTTTTTGTGGTGTTGTTGTGCTAGTGGCCAAGTGCATGAGAAAGTAACTGATTTGACTTCAAGTATGCCTAGTTGTTTTTATCTAATTGTTAACTGCTATTCCATCAAGGTCTTAAATAGGGATATAAACTAAAAATTGTGTTTCAGTTACGCTGTTAATAAAAATGAAATTGCCTGACCATTTCTTTAATGGCACAGAACAAACTATGGTAGATATTTCTGTTGGCCTTTTCCTTTTGAGGAGCAGGGATACAGCCTGCACTCCCAACTTAAATCCTAGGTACTTAAACTTTGTATTAACGTAAAAAGAGATATATACAACTTAATTTTTATCTCGGATAAATTGTGCTTTTTTTCTTTTTCTTTTTAGATTTAATTGATCCTGTTGCTTTAGAAACTTCATTACCTAAAAATCTTATGGCACAGATTAGTGCACTTGCTGTTCAACTGGATTCAGAAGATCTCCATAATTATTCAGGAAGCCAGCTGTTTGAAATGCATGAGAAACTTGGTAGCATGGCAAACTCAATAATAAAAAATTTGCAGTCACGCTGGAGGTCACCAGCCCATGAAAATTCCATTTAGTATCTTAAGAGAAAATTGAAGGTTTTTTGTTTTTTTTAACATCACTGGATTTTTTTGATTCATAAAATAAGTTCTGAAATACAGCACAGTTTCAGTCTGACTGTTTGCAAAGTTGATATTTCAAACCCTGAAGGGCTGTGACTTATTACGTAAGTTCAGTTTGTGAGTTCGTATGTAAAATTTTTGTTCATACAACATTTTCTTGGCTGCTATGCATAGCTTTTTGAAAAATTTAAATACCTTGCCGAAACCTGAAAAGCAAAAACTAGAAACAAAAGCATTTTATTTTACACGTCTTAAACTCCTGGATATTCTGATGAAATGTTCATGTAAAATACGTTATTTTAAGTAAAATTGAACATTTCTATTTGAATTTTTGCTGAACTGGTAAAACTGTTTATACTTTTTTTTTTTTTTTTTAATTTATATTTGTTGTGCCTGAGGTTTAAGAAATTTGTTCTTTGTAGAACACCTCAAAGGAGATGCAGAAGAATTGAAATGTTTTTTCGCAGATGTCAATTTTGGACACATTTCAAAAAAAATACCAAAAGTTGCAACTTTTGGGGTTAATATATTAAAGCCGAATTTACTAAAATTCCATTCATTTGCATTAGCAAATATTTGTGCAACAGCATTGGTGAAAATTTAGTCGTTTGAGACCTACCCCATTCATTTTAAAATGCATGACTATTTGTACATTATGTATAGATTTAAATGTTTTTAATTTATAAATTTCAGCCTTTGTTAATGGCATGAATTTTTCTGCAGCTACTTGTGAATACCTTTGTTTAATAGAAACCTATTTTGTATATATTAAATGCTGAGAGATCAGTATGGACAGTTAGAAGTGATTTGTGGGCTTGCTGCAGATGATTGTAGGATTCTGTATCTACAAATACAAATAGTTTTGTACTTAGTAGTCTTAGTAAAAACATGAGTTTATTTTCTAAAGTAACCAGAATGAGTTATAGAGATGAGAAAGTGTTACATAAGAACTTTGCTATTCATACCTATACTTTTTTTTTTTTTTTTTTTTTTTTTTTTGGAAGGAGGATGTCCACCACTAGAAAACGTGCTTCATCACATTTCTTTTTAATGGAGAGTTAGTATGACTATTTTTGTTACAACTTGGACTATAAGAAATCTAGACTTTATCTGCTCTTTTCACCTACACCTAAAGCAAACTTGGAAGAAATTTGAAATTGTTCTTTTGAAATATGTATGTTTTGCCTAGTTTAAAAGAATAGGGGTATATAATTAAAATTATAATTTTATATAATTAAAACGTTTGTATATAATTAAAACGTTTGTAAATTTTACCATCTAGTATTAGTGCCTGACTTCCCACATTTGTTTCGTCTCTTCACAGTGAGAATATCTCATTTGCTTTCTGAATAGAATGAGTGAGTGACCTCAGTTTCATCCTTTATTCAGAACTTAACCAGATTGAAAAGGCACACATTATTCAGCAAGTTACAGCAAGTTTAATCCTTGTGTCTAGTTAATTCTTATAATACTCAGAAGGGGACCACCAGTCAGCCAGCAAAGTTGGTGTCAATTTCGTAATTATAAAATAGTAGTTTATATCGTCTCTCTTTTCCCAGATTCTTTTTTATAGTAAAGAGGCATGTAAGTTTTTTTAGTTAACAGATGTAAGAAGGTGTGTGTGTATGTGTTTGTTTGGAGAGTTAAAATTGGCTTATTTCTTACTGTGTCTTAATGTTTGTGTTAACTGGTTGGTGAAATGAGTTCTAGGGAACATGAACAGTATAGCAGAAAATGTGACTAAAATGATTATCATTTACTTAAATCACTGAATTTGATACAAGCACAGCTATTAATTTTCAAATGTTATAGTTGCACAAGGATGTATTTTAAAATGTTATTTGAAGGCAGAAACCAGTTTGCTAAATCTTCATTCCTGATATAGTTGTAAGTGTATATTTGAGGCATCTTAATTTTATTATTCTTGCCTTAAATATTTCTGCACATTTTCCCCTGAATGATTCCTGAATAGCAAAAAGTATTAACACTCCTTGATCAGTTTCAGTGTGTTGTTTCACTATTAAAATAACATCAGTTTTCCAGCTATTTTCTAAGGGTTAATAAAACAAATGGCTAATATTAGTAAGAGAATCTAAATGTGATTTCTTATTTTATGCATTTATGGAAAGAATCTGGTTGCTTGCAGAAGCATAGTACAATTTATGTTCCAAATGGACTTTGTATAGTGGATTTAAATTTTCAGCATTGCAGTGAACCCATTCTCAAAATGCTGTGACATTTGAACAAGTTTGAAAGCCATTGTTGAATGATATGGAGCTTTTGTTCTAATTCCATATTGTCTAAGATGAATCAGGTTTTACACCTTGAAAGTAGTCAGGGATTCTGTTATATTTTTAAGAACCATAAAAATGTCAAGCAATTTGGATTATGTTTTGCCTAAAATAAAAGTGGCAGGGCAAGAAACAAAATTAGGGGAAAAATGGGAGAGGGGTGTGTGTGTGTGTGTGTGTGTGTAAAATTTACAATTAGCATTTTTCTAAAAAATTTTTTAATTAAAATAATTAAAAATAAGTGCCGTTTAGAAAACCTTTCTTGGAATTTAACAGAAAATGTGAGTTAAAGGGGTCACATTTTCCCTTAATGCCATTCTTTCCAACTTGACTTTACAACCCAATAAGAAGGGCCTAGTTTCCGTCTTACATTCTTTGTTATTGATTTTCAGGGAGATACTTTGCAGCTGGGCTAGGAGGTCATAAAATAGCAGCTATTGACAATATTACGATTTTGGTGGAGGGGAGAGAGCTGTTTGCTCAATAGCACAACCCATGTCTGTTTTATTCCTAAGCCATCAGAAAGGTTATGTACATTGTATACAAACATTAAAGTTTTGACTTTTAACAGTGCTTCTCAAATTTGGCCTGTATGTATGAAAATGCAGATTATGATTCAGCAGTTCTGGGCTTGAGGCCTGATAGTTCATGGCCAAAAATTTCCACATGATCCATACAAATGCTCATGTCTGTGTGTAGGCCTAAGATGCTACAGGCTGCGAATTAGGTGATAATAACTCAAGCAGGTTTAAATCCCAGGAATTGTTGCTACAAAAGATAAAGGTTAGTATTTTTTAAAATAATTTTTTTTCAGATTTATGTTTGGGGGTACAGACTGGTCTTGAAGCCTTCAAATTAAAGTTCAAAGTTTTTTCAAGAGTTAAAGGTAGAATTTTGCCTCATTTGGAGCCTTTTTTAAATATGGAAGATTTACGGTATTGGAGAGATTTATGTTTTTAAGTAGGCAGTTCTATATTTCATATTGTAAAGAACCTTACTAAGCAGATTAGACGATTTGAACCTTTTTCATTAGTGTATGTGGATTATTTTCTTATTTTTCTAATATAAAAGTAAAATTTCAAATATTAGGAATGTATTTAGTCTCTAAATCTTGCCTTCTAAGTTATGGGGCTTCATATTTTACTAATAAACATTAATAACAGACTACCCCTAATTAAGATTAACTTGGCAGTAAAGTTAGCAGTACCAAAATAAGTCCTAAGAGATGTGAGTTGTCATTTTACTAAAGACTTCTGGTTACTTTGCCATTACATTGTTGACAGTTTGTGTCATCTTAAAATGGTGCTTGAAAAACAAATAATTTTACCCAAAAAATGAGTTTCTCTGGGCATTGTTATGTTGTGTTTCCCTAACATATTTTAAATGCTTTTTGTGTGGATTGCACTCCTTCAGAGCACTTAAGAAAATGTAGCCAGAAGTTAGGTAATGGGTTTTTTTAATTGATTTATCAAAATTTGTTGATTTTTTTTTTTTTTTTTTTGGTTTAATCTGTAAAATAAATGTGGGCTTCGGTTTGCGATGGTCCAGTTGATGATAATGTCTGTTATATGCCAGCCTTTATATATTGCTTTTTTTTTTTTTTAAGTTTTCTTAAATGTTCATTTATTTTTGAGAGAGAGAGAGCACAAGCAGGGAAGGGCAGAGAGACACACACACACAGAATCCAAAGTAGGCTCCAGGCTCTGTCAGCACAGAGCCCGATGTGGGGCTCAAACTCATGAACTCTGAGATCATGACCTAAGCCAAAGTCGGACACTTAACTGAGCCACCCAGGTGCCCCTGTATATTGCTTTTTGAAAGTATGTATTAAAATCTGAGTCATGAGGATTTGAAGATCCTTAGATATTTAAGAGTAGAATTGAGTATTCACTCAGTTCTTTAATAGAATGTTAAATTTTATAACATGATCTTAACCATTTTTTTCTTTAAATACCAAAGAATATTTAAAACCAAACATGAAGTGCCAAGCTGTAAATGCTTAATTTCTTGAAGTATACCATTAGAAGAAAAGATAATATCTCCCTTTACCTGAGAGTATAAGATTGAAGGCAATATTTTAAATTGATATCACATGGAATAAGAGAAGTATATAGCCTTTTAGTATAGGAACAGTCCTATATACTTTGAAAATAGCTGGTAGTTATCCTATATCCTATACACATAGTACCAGAACTGGTACTAATAAATACCCTGAATAATTGTTTGAGATCTACATTATTTATGGGTTACTCATCTGGCTCGGTCACTGGTAGAGCATGCAACTCCTCAGGGTTGTGGGTTCGAGCCCTATGTTGGGTGTACAGATAACTTAAACATAAAATCTTAAAATATATATATACATTATCTAATATTCTGCCCCCCCAAAACAGTAAATAAAACGACTTCCAACAATAGGCAGAATCATTCCTTAAATGAATAAATTGGGTATAACTAGGAAGTTCACTTTCAAAATAAAGTCATGGAATGGAAAACGGAATATTGTGTAATAGCTGTTTTGATAATTGAGTAATTAGATGTCTAAAGAAATTTTTATTTTTGTAGAATGGGAATTTTCTAAAAGAAGAATGAAATTAACAAAGAATTTGAGTATAGAAGCTAAAAGATGTCAGTCCTAACCTAGTAAGTTTTTATGAACAGGTCAAA